CAAATAACATTACTTACCATTACAGCTGACATTGAATTATAGGGTCATTTTCATGTTACCTATGCAACTGGTAAGACTGAGTCTGTTAATAAATTTTGACTGACTGACTGAGTTTGGTTTTACGCCGCTTTTAGCAATATTCCAGCAACATCACAGCGGGGGACACCAGAAATGGGCTTCACACATTGTACCCATGTAGGGATGCGAACCCGGGTCTTCGGCATGACGAGCCAACGCTTTAACCATTAGGCTACCCCACCACCCCAATAAATTTTGAACACATTATTGAACAGAAACATATCAATAAACTCAAAGGACCCACGGAAATGAGCTTGATATAACCTTAGTTTGTTGTACATATTTCAACTAAATACACGGCAAGTGGTCAGGACAAAAAAGAAACAGTTCCTTACATCCATTAGTTTGTTATAAGTGACTTCGTTATAAATGTAATCTGCTGTACTTATTTTTGCCCATGGGTCAAGTTTCCACTTACCAGTTAAAAGGACAGTGAACCATATTGCTCAGAATGGGTCATTTGTGTATTGGGTATTTCAGTGGATCAATGACCAAAGATACTTGGCCATCTGATTTTTAATGTTAAAAATCCAACATTACTAATAATATATTATTATGATACACAAAACTGCACATTTTATATAGGCTTCAATGTCATGAACAAAGCAAGTGATCTAGAATGTACAAATAAAAACGAAGCACCTTTATCTCGTATACTGATAATGGTAGTGTATATTTTGTACATACAGACTATATATCAAGGTATTAAGTACAATCAAAAAATCTTTGAGGTCCTCACTGTGTAAAGACAAGCCACAGAAGGAGAATGGTGAGTGTCACAAACACACACTCTCTGTATACAGAAGATTACCAAGCTAAACACTAAACAAACCAACTATCTATACACGATATCCCTTTCCTAGATGACTTATCTCTATGAATATACTCTACAAGGCCATTGTAAGCTGATGGAACCCTCTGTTGTCATGCTTGAGGACAAAGTTCTCATCCATCACAGCAATAAATAAAAACTCACTTTGTTTCGAGTGTTGATTTTTCTTTTCTGTGATGACACAGGACATATTATAAACAAAAGGAACAACGTGACCTTCGGTCTGGAAAGAACTAACCAAGAATTATCCAATCTCTGTTACGTGTGCGGCATGAAATACATCCCGGTCAGTTGTCTGACCAGCACAATGGCTCCTGGACATCACAGGGGTATGTGTACACTATCCATGTCATTAGGTGTGAAGACAATGTTAGCACAACACATTAAGGTGTTGGTGGACACATTACCAGGTGCGAAGAGGGCAAACACCAAGTATTTTAACACTTGTCTCAACAACGAAGATAAACATATTTCACAGCGCATCACATAAACACATAAACTCAACAGATCACAGATCTGCACTGCCGACCCTCCTTCATCATTGGTTATCTTGTTCACAATGCTTCTCATAGCTGGCCATTAACTGTGGGAAAACATGCATCTAACATGTCTAAGATAATAGGAAAGTTTGACCTCAAACATGTTAAAAACTGGAAACAGCTGGCACAACATGTATGAGAATTCACCCCAACTGACTCAGCAGCCAGACTGACAATCAACATTTTCATCCTAGCTATATCACTTGAAGTGAACATTTACATCTTCCTCCTCTGATGGGGTTACAGTTAACAGGTATTTTCAATAGTGCACAAATATGATCTGCTACACAGTTGCCATCTACCTAATGGTGAAAGTGGCAGTCCACATTGTCAACAATGATACACATCATAATTCATTCATGTGTCTTGAATTATACTACAGCGTTGTACCATCAAACTTATGTAAATTTTAAATCCTAGATTGTGTACCACAGGCTAACACAATCAGCCAAATAAATAGCTAACTCTTAGGTTGTTTTCTCTACACTGTAAAACAAACCTATATTTTCGGCAGAATAACACAAATGGACAAAAAACTGCTATTTATCACAATTAGGGTAGAAACCTTGACAAGTAAACGCCTTACAAAATCAATCCAAACTGTCACAGTCAAGAAGTCCTGAACATGACCCCACTTAGGATGACATGGAAGCCACACACCAGACTCATCATGCTCATTGTTCTAAGCTGAACACAAAGATGTCTCCAACCAATCTCAGGGCACAGAAGCACTTGTCTCTGTGTTCCTCACATACTTGTCGTGATCATGGATTGGCCAAATTACCACATCAAATTGGCTTCAAGGGAATTAGCAACTACTGATGAAGAATGAAATCCCATCAGCATTATCAGAACACACAAAGCACTTTGAAAAGGTGACATCATAGGCAATCCTCAACAAAGGATTATATGAGAAGGGAAATAGTCTTGCTATAATATCCAATCACCAGGGTGTAGCCAAGTATCTGACACATGGTTGATGCAATACAGCTTACAAGATTCAACATATGTCCAAAGTTATTTACATACTTCTTACATCATGTACATGTTATAATTAAAAAATTAATTTGTTGGTAGTAAACAGACTAGAACTATGATATAAAGCATTAAATACCTTTAAGTTGGAAATGGACAAGAAGCTAGGTGGTTATGGTCAACTCATATAATATTATGGGACGAACTCCAAACCTTAAACATTTACATTTAGTTGTGATCAAATCATGCATTTGAATGTTCAATTTGATTCAAATAACTGAAAAGTCTTAAAGATTAATTAAGCGTTAACATGGTTAATTTGTGTTCTTTCTCTGCACAATTGCCATTCAATGCTGACCAAAAGATTTTTCTATGAATAGTCTTCAATCTTATCAAATTAAATTAGAAAATAATGTTGTTTTACAGGATGTTCCTTTTCTGCAATAGTCATGATTGTATTTTAATGTAGGACTAAGGTCGTCGCTATTCATTTACCTTTGTTCACAACTGTGACAGCTATAACCTCACATATATATAACTCACTCACATAGCTAAACTTTTTGTGATCTGTGGTGTTTGATGTTTAATGAGCATGTAATCACCCCTTGTAACAATCTTAATAACAGCTGTTAAACATTTCTGGGTGCCCTCCATTACAATACGTTCAGTTCTCAAAGACTCCTTGAATCCTATCCACAAAGTGTTTGTAGCACTACATCATTTGTAGGCCAAAGGTATGGTATATAGTTACAATAGATCCTAACATTATGAACACGTTGTTGATTGGGACCAGGGACTTTTTCCAAATTTCATACCTGGACTTGCAATGGTCAATCGCTACTAACAATTCTCTAAACATTATTACATTGCTATACAGCTTGCTTGATAACAGGTGTTAATACCTACACCGAAAAGCCGCTCTCATTGCAATTAAAGAAGATGACTATCCATAGAACTTGGTTTTCCTTCATAGCTATATTGCTTCATTCCTTCATGATATGAGTGTTATATCACTAGGTCAACAAACTTCAATTATCAAGATGATAAGTATTTCAAATAAATTACTACATTCATATTTTCATGAAGGTATTCACATGACATAACAGTGGATTATTAGTATTATATTAACAACCTGTGTTGCAGAATGTGACTGTCCATGTTTATATGTGTGTTTGCTGGAGAATAATGCATGTGTATCATGTGTATGGAAAACAACTGATCAACATATACATGATACATAAATCTGAATACATTTACTCTGCTGACTCTGTATTCAATGTTAACAAGGTTAACTTAACAAAAATTCTTACAGCTTCAACAGGACATTTTACTTTGTTATCCTGATAAAATTCACCTATCAATCCAGTCTTAAATATGCCCACCATAACCGAACATAATGATAACATAAGAGGTAATAAATCATTTTGTATGTTCACAAGAAAAGAGTTTAAAGCAGTAAATCTGTTAAGAGATGTATTTGCAAATTACCATTCTTGACATACTTTATGTTAAACATACTAAACACTTGTGTCATTGTTAGCTATACAATGCATAATCTGTGTCCTGAAAAGCTTGAAACTAGCAGTTTATCATTTGTGCACATCTGTAGTCATGGTAGTGGTTCAAGGATATGACCATGATTGTGTTTCTATAGCATGACAAGACTGTAAGCTTTGTAAAATAACAACTACTAGTACACTATAAATTAAATATACTGTTACTTTGATAAATGAACAAATATGAATTTGTAATATTATTATTACCATAATGAATAGCATGGCTAGTGAAGATTAATATGAACAAATGTATTACGAACACTTTACCATAACATCATATCCTTGCTTATACAACAGATATGGGTGGAGATTCGAGTATCAACAGTTTGCTATTTTGAAATGAAAGATTAAATTAAACAACTTGCAATCTTCTTATATACAAATCTATCCCATATCTATGACACAAACACTTATCAGCACTGACATATGACACTCATTCATGTTTCACTAGTCTGTGTGAATTGTAAACCCAGTAAAGGTTGTGACACCTGATTCATATTTCGAAAGATAAACACAATCATATATGAATGATACAACAATGAACAGAAAGATGTTGTGGATCAATAAAATCTATATGTGGGTCAACAAAATATTTCAACCATTGTAAGTTCATAAACATGTCAGTTGTTGAGGCCCTGCTCTTTCACTGAAACGGGAAAACCTTTTTTTCTGAGTAGTATGGAAGTGCTGGGATAGTGCAATAACATAAAACAAGCCCGAATTGGCATCAATACCACAAAAAACAAAAACTGTGATCAAAGTTGAATCAGCTGACAAATTGCATGGTCCCACCACAGCTGCTGTCAATTGCAAGCTTGGCAGATAAACAAAGACTAGCTCCTAAATAATATATACAGTGCAGTCGATAATAGTAAGGGCTTGAAATATGTTTGGTGTTATCTACTGTTGAATGAATTCATAACAGCATCTGGGAAAAAGAAATAACTCCTGATCTACGGAATATGGCCATATGACATTTTAGTTCCCGATCAGGCGTAAACAAAACACTGGACAACGCACCTGACAGTCGATCAGGCTCTAGTCCTGAGGAAACATCGAGGCCACAGATGACGAAATAGTCCGAAAACCTGCTGGGCGGAGGTTGCGACGACATCTTCACTTGTTATCTAGTAATTTCCATGATCCCGAAGTGTTTTAAAATACGAAAAAGTGTACAACATCACCAACATATCGACGCCATCTCATTACTCATGTCATTTATCATGAATCTTTGCAGACGCCAGATGGCGCTTGTTCATACTATTTCCTCTACAACATCTCGACGGGGTAACCAGTACTCTGCTGGAGAGCGCATTGGGGCGCTTGTTTGGTTCAGACAGGAAGAATAATACTTCTGCGCATGCCATCAAGGGAAAAATATACAGTGTTGACTCCTTTTGTTATCAAAATATGCATGAATGTTTGATTTTGTACATGAAGCTAAAATGAAACTTAAAGGAAAACTAACACATGGGTCTAATAGTTATCACGTTACATTTCAGATGCGCTTACTAAAATATGTAATATTAGTATTATTAGTACACATCAAAACACAAAGCAAGATGTACGCAGTATAAAGTATTTGCAGACAGGTAATTGAAGCAGTGTGTGTCTATCACCATTGAAGTGTGTCGATCCGCACCCAATCCTGTCTAGACGTCGTAATCAGTACAACATGTAATTTTATGATCTAATTAAAAGCACGGATCACCAGGGTAATGGCTGATCATTAGGTGTTGGTGATTTGAATGTCCATTTCCCAAACAGAAAAGGAAAAAACACAACAGAGACTTCAGTTGAGCATAATTTGGTATAACCATGATAGGAGTGTTTATATGAATCTCACTCTCTTGATATGTAAGTTGTTCAGGTCGACGCGTACAATGTCGCACTGTTAATTCAAGGTTTGTCTCAGAAAAAAACCCGCCCCGCCCATATGTCGATATCTACACCACACGACCGTCAGTCAGTTTACAGAAGAGGACAAGGCCAGAACCAGGTGAGTCGACACACACAGCCGGTGAATATGTTACTACCGAAATGTTTATCCGTGACTATCATCGGTCATCGGCTGCAGATGTCGTGGCCGTGAAGAAGATTATTGTGTATGACCTGTTATCGTTCATGTAGCTGTGGCGATGTTGGATATGGGTCGTAAGCTACTGCTACAACTGACTCTCGATCTCGATGATTTTTTGGCAGTAGCTGCAGCTTGTATAGTTACAACGGGTATACTGCTAGGCCAGTATTTTCTCTGATAGTTATTTCATAGTTTACAATTTGTGTTCACTATTGCCGAAAAGTCTTGTACAGAAGAGGTTGTAAGGTATAATTACATATGGCGATGCTTTCTAGCATATGGTCCGATGTTCGTATTTATTGCAACGGTACGATAGCTTTCTCTCTCTCTCTCTCTCTCTGTCTCTCTCTCTCTGTCTCTCTCTCTCTCTGTCTCTCTCTGTGTCTGTCTCTCTCTCTCTCACACACACACAAAGGGCGACAACAACATCGGGTGTGCAAGCTCTTATATAAATTGCGTGGATCGATGCTCACGATATTAATCAGAAGATTGTCTAATCCAGACTCCACAGTCCGCCTCCAAGACTAAATATATATATATATATAATTTTGATAGTAACAAATAAACCCATGGGACATTCACCTGGTGAAATCTAGACTTGCTTGATTTACAGTTTTCGCATTACAAAGACGGCTAGGCAGTAGGGAAAATAATGGTTCAGGGACCGTGAGACAGACTAACCGCCTCCATGTAGATGGAATATTGCTGAATGCGGCGTAACAAACGCTACCTCTATTGTAGGACAAGAGATTTGTTGTAAATGGTGGAGTGTCTGTGGTCACTGATGACGGTTCTCTTCGTACATGTACTTTTTCCAAACAAGCACGTTTGCACAGGTTTCAGTTTCAACTCAGATACAAATAACCGTACCCACATGCAGACACACTCCAATATACATTCATCTGCTTGGTGTTAGCACAACGGAGCGAGGTGACACGCACTGTCTTATTGTCGAGTGATTATTCTTTTCTGAAAAGCGTCATTTTTATGAGAGTTGCGCGTGACATTACGATCCCCGAGTCACGACTTGACGCTACTGTCCCACAGAGGAGGTGCGTGTCTTCTATAAACATAGACAAACAGATGTACAGGTGTGTCTGTATTGTATTAACTTTGTATAACATGGGACGCGGTGTGTAACAAGTGTAGATCGGATGGTAGAAATGTATGATAGTCATACACTGCTGGGGCCCAGCTGATTAGCATCACATCGTATCGCACTGACGAAAGCTGATGCTCATACTATCCACCACTGGTTTGCCTGTTCCAGACTCGACCATACACTAGCTGTCGCATTGTTAACAACACACTCAATAGGCGGGTAGGTATCGTTTCGGATTAATGGTCAATGTGGCTTTACTAGATAACGGTTTAAACAAAGACCATAAAATAAGGTCCTTTATTTGGGATACAAGGAGTTGGATGGTTGGGGATGGGGGTGTAATGGAATTGCTATGTGAATGCAAATGAATATAATGTAAGCAAGCTGTGTTTGCAGGTCAATGTGATTCAGTTTATATGATTAATTATAATTAGTTTTTTTATACGTCGTCATCATTAATATCTTAAAAATCAAGTATGTGTGCGTGCGTGTGTGCGTGTGTGTGTGTGTGAGCGCGTGCGTGCGTGTGCGTGCGTGCGCGTGCGCACCTCTGGTACCGCACCTGCGTATCCCTCTGTGTCTAGTCTGTACCTTATATATAGTGGGCAACTACACAGCTGTAAGAGGCGGACAACGACTCATCCTGCCATCTCACCCCTGGTTCTGATCCTGCCCACCATTTCCAGTTTTTAGTAGGCAAACGGGCGACTTAGCCGGAAAACTGTTTAACTTTACGCTAATGTTTATGAGATATATATTTATCTTGTCCGCGTAGTCTTCAAGTTGTATGCTGAAAAAATAGCTGTCAACAGATTTGCGTAATTTATGATCTGTTCGTCTGGTGAGAAGACATGTCCTAAGGAAACTCACAGGAAAAAAGTGCCTTGAAAGATGTGATTGGGTAATTTAGTTCAACTCTTCTGCAACTTGCACAGCGGTCTGTTTGTTTACTTTTGTTGTATTATGCCCTTTGAATTAGTTGAGAATAAGGAGCCGACAGGAAACCTAGAGCAGTAAGGATATTGATAACCCAACCTGAAAACTTAAATGAATGTAATTTTACTCATTTGATAACATGAAAATGAATATTAAAAAAGTGTAATCTTTTCCACGAAAATACCACTAAGCCACACAGCAGTCTCAGCATTTATTATATGACGTGCAGAAAATGGTATAATAATATGAGAGCGCCATCTTCCGGCAAGAAGATCAAGTGGGACAGTGTTTTGGTGTGAGGTGTGTAGTGTATTGATCTACTATGAGTGACAACGTGATGACATCCCAACAACCTATGTTTATGTTTATGCAGGAATACCTTCCCCGACCATATGCGTTTGTTATTTTGAAATAAATCACAATAAGCGTGTCACTCCGCGTCTGTAAAGGTAGACAACCCTCAACATCACAACACCGAAGCGTACCGCCAATAAAATGTCTTGATAACACGAGAACTGAAAAATGACTTTCTGTATTGAATAGTTGGCGTATCAACAACGTCATCTGAAGTTTCTTTAGACTCGTAATAACGTGTTTAACATAACAAGGTGTGACATCGAAACACTCCTAAGTTGGAGTTACAATACATTTGCCTTAGATCGAATTGTTTCATTCAATGACTGATGCTGTCAGCTGATCTGGTCCTTGCTTTGTCAACATTACGTTTGATAACAAACCATGACAGTGACAGAGAAAAGTAATTTGTTTTTGTTTGATCTTGTTTTTACGGTTTGTTAATGAATCAAGACGTGATTCATGTAAATCATTGCCATGTGAATTGGTGATTTGACAGGATTAACTTCTCTGTCATGGAGGGGAGCAGACATCATGCCCAGCTATAAAGACACCACGCTGTCTTACATATCTTGTATCACAGGAGAGGCCCTACCACTAGGTTGTGTATATTCAGACCTCTTCATTGCAAATTAAATGTCATCACAGATGTTTTGTACAGTATGCTTGAATTCTGTTCCTAATGTGTTATCCAAGAAGAATATAGAAAATGAGTTTGTCTTTACTTATGTGAAGTATTTAGGATGAAACTGAATGCTAGAATGTTTCCCATTTACTGTACAGCCATGCATGTTGATTATAATTTTGTTACTGGTTTTAATTTTCTCATTGGTGAATTAGCATGTGGTCATATGATATGATATCATGTTCAATGAAGGTAAATGTAAGTGTTAAACTGCTCACAGTTTGTTTCTCCTGCTTACAGGAGTTATCTGTCCATGATGCTACGTCACTATGCCCAGCAGCTCAATCCCCTTCGCTATCTAACGTCAGCGAACCTCATCTCTCGGATAACTCCACAGTCCCAGGTATGTGTTTCTTAGACAACATCAAAAAGCAACAATGAGATAAGAAGATATGTGAAGCTTGTGAATATGATTATCATTCAAATAATATGTTTCCTTGTAACTAGAATGTTTCCAAGACGCATGAAGATCTTGGTTAGAACTGGTCCTCAGCAGCCCATGCTTGTCGTAAGAAGCGACCAACAGGGTCGAGTGGTCAGGCTTGCTTACTTGGTTGTTGGATGTCATTGTATGACAATTGTGTAGACCGATGCTCATACTGTTGATCACTGAATTGACTGGTCCATACTTGATTATTTACAGACCACTGCCATAAAACTTTAGTTATGGATTGATGTTTTTTTGGAATTGTATGCGCATGTATGCGTTTCTTACAAAATCAGGAACTTGTCCATACATGAACATGATGAAAGTGTTCATCTAAACATGCAAAGTGTATCTGATGCAGACACAGTACCTGTTATATAAGGTGAGGCTGTGGAAAAACCCAATTGATAAAGCATGTTCCTGTCATCCCAAAGGCCCTGGTTCCATTCCTCTCATGGAATATGCTTGTACACACTCACTAGTGGTGGTCCGATTAATTGAAATAATCGAAGATTGGTCACAATGACAAAACGACCAAGCAATCGATCATGTTTTCTCATAATCGAACACAATCAATTTTGGAACACTTGTTTGCAATAACAATATTTTTCACAAGGTTGGTTTTGTCTGTTAGATTTCATTAGCACTACAAGCTCTTCCAATTCATGATTGAATTTATTTTAAAGACTCCATGAAATTCATGTTCCTAACATGCTATTCATCCTTTAAAGATGTGAAATTTGCAAATGCATTTTGTGCAGTTTGCAAAGAAAACGAAAGAACTACACGTTTTTTTCTTTATCTTTTGTGCTTTAACAAACATAACCAGGAAAAATTGATATATGACGCTAACCAATTATGTACGATGATTGATCGGTTGTAATAAACCAATCATCAATTATGAGATTTAAACCAATTCCCAACACTAACACTCACTCCTTCCTTCCTTCCCACCACACTCAGCCATTTTCTAGCCAGAGCATCACTCTGTCCACGGACTGCAGCAGTGATGAGGTGAGCAAGGCTCAGTCTGCAGCCAAGTACACCGGACAACCAACCATCTTCTCCAAGATCCTGGACAAAACTATACCAGCCAACATACTGTATGAAGACGACCAGGTACATATTGTTACATATTTTGATCATGATATATCATATTTTAGGCACATCCCACCTTTGATATGTATTGTATGCAGTATCTGTTTAGGTAGGATGTCTGGTATGTTTAGGGACTGTTCATAATTTATGGCTACTGGGAGTGATGATGAGTTTAAGGAGAGGTCACCCATTTTGAGTCATCAATTTTGTAGACATGTTTGGGGGGTGTCAGCAATTTTGTACATAAAAATACTTAAAAATGAGGCTTAAAATTTTACGGGAAGGCGGGGGTCATTGATTTTGTACATGACATGCGGGCCGGGGTCACTTACTTTGTACATCAGTTTTAGGGGGGGTCATTCACATTGTACATGCTTCTCCATAAAAAGCATCATCACCCCCCTACCCATAAATTATGAACGGTCTCTTATCTGTTTTGAAAACAGGGTGAGGGGGGTAGTCTAGTGCTTAACGCGTTGGTAAGATTTCTGCCTGTATCCCCCCCCTAAATTTTAATGATGAGGGGAAAAAGTATATATATTCAGGTAATATAAAATTTAAGGGGATATGGACGGAAGTCTTTCCAAAGCATTTGTAGGTCATGCTGAAGACCCAAGTTTGATTCACCTTGGGTACAATGTGTGAACCAAATTTCTGTACTCATTCACTAATACTGTTTTGAATTCAGGAAAGTAATGAAAGCTGCAAATTACATGGTCATAGTGACTGTTTATTCTTTCATACCTGTATGTGTTTTTATATGATATACATCATTCCTAGTTGCATAGGTATTACAGGGTGTTATATATCCATAGAATTATCTCCCTTGTTTGTGACAGGATGGTTACAGCATGTGCTTGTTGCACAGTATATCCATGTTTGATTCTCCACATGAATACAATATTTGACGCCCTCTATGGTCTTTCCCTTTGTCTCAGTGTATGGCGTTTGCTGATGTCAACCCACAAGCTCCGGTCCATTTCCTGGTTATTCCCCGGAAACCTATAGTGATGTTGAGTGAAGCAGGTGATGAGGATGAAAAGGTAAAGAGTTGTAGACAGACTTTGTTCTTTATGATTCATATATCATTTTCACATTTCGTGCGCTCTTGGAGATTCTGGGTTAGACAGGAGCCAGCAACCTATCCTGGTCATCTGATGCAACTAACTGGATATGTCTGTCAGGCTCTCTGACTTGGTTCATTGTGTGCTATTGTACCCCACGGGCATGAATCTTTGCTCTAAACATCAATCACAGGTTTGTCTGGTCCCAACTTGATGATTTACAGGCTGCCATCAAATAGCTTGAATATTGCGAAGTGCTTCATCAAACGACAATCAAACAAGCACAAGTATTACTGATACGGTTTCTATAGATTCTATAATTCCACCCAAATACATATTGAGCACAGGGACCATACATCTGTAGTACATGTGTACTGAGGACAGAGTATATGCCGGGAGGAGACGTGCAGTAGGCCAAGTAATGTCCGACAGGTTACAGTGGTTCTCTGTACGCCAGTATAACAAGTACTGGTTCTCAGTTAGCTAAGGGGACTAAGCAAGAGCTGTGATGTTAAAGCTTAGGTGTTTCCATTTGCTTCTAATTACAAGTTTTGCAGTGAAGTAGCATGTCATCACCACAACAGTGTAACCCAAAGTATTGCGTAGGTAATCTTCTATAGTCCGTCAATTTAACTTTTGGCACCGTTTTTCACAATTTACATAAAACTCCTGAATATTTAAAACACTACTCTGTTCATATTGTAATTGTATACCGTGACCTAACAAGATATCTATTTTAGTAATTTTAAAACGATTCTTGAAGATTTTGCCTTTAAACCTGTCATAAGGTAATGGTAAAACTGTGGAGAGTTTTACAAGGGGTTAATGCACCTGATGGAAAAGCCAACAACATTGTAATATGTGTGTCAGCGTGATATGTACATGCACGAGTATTTACAATAGCACGCTTAAGTGATGTCAGATATTGTCAACTTGCACAGGTTGTAGGGAAAACGATGTTGTACAAAGATGACCGGCAAATCATCAAAAGAGTTTACAACTTTCTCAAGCGCGAGGCAAAGCGAAGAAAAGCCTCTTTTTTTAATTGAATGTTTCTCCAAAAGACATTTAAAGCCACGAAGATCTGCAAAAGAATGTTGCAAAGAGTTATCTCCCATGACACTATTTCAGAGCCTGACGATGACATGGCAGTTAATTTGGGGACCGTTTCAAAACATGCAAAGAAACAAAGCTTGATGAATTCGATAGAAGGGTTGTGAGGGACGTCATGCATCGGTTACATCGATCCATATTGTCAAGCAAACTGAAGAAAATATTGTTCAAAAGAAGAACATGACATCAATGTATCAAAGCATACCATATGCAAGCTGTTGCTCAAATTTGGATATAGATACAAGAGATCAAGCAACCAGTCTTTAAAGACTTCAATGAATCTACTTGTTTAAAATGGATTTATGATGATTATACAGTTCCTTTAGATTTGCTTGCAGGCGTAACAATGTAACCAGGATGCACACGTGTCACACCATGTTGTTGGCTGTTCCATCGTATCATTTTACTCCCTTGTATAACTACTTCTAATTTTCATATTTTTATAAGATGGCTTCTTAAGAAGAAGCTTTAATAATTGACATAAAATTATGAAATTTAAACCTTGGGTAGGTCATAAGATATAAAGAATGTATGCACAAAAACTTTTTGAAGGCATTTTTGGTTAAAAGGTAAATTGTGAAAAACGGTGCCAAAAGTTCAGTTGACGGACTATAGTGGAGTGATTTTTATAGACAGGGTGCTTGATGCAGAGTTACTTCCCCTTTTCAGCTGCTGGGCCATCTGATGGTTGTGGCTAAGAAAGTAGCAGAGAAACAGAAGCTTGATGAAGGCTACAGACTGGGTGAGTTGTACAGAGAGATGATACCAACACTGTTGTCATAGCAACATGTATCTCGTTACGGCAGCCATGATGACTCCTATAATAGCCAGTATCCCTTTCAAATATTGAGTAGTTTATCAAATTGCTATTCCGTATTGCTATGTTCAGTAATGAGTTCCTTGTTTTGTTGTAGTGATAAACAACGGCAAGCATGGCGCACAGTCTGTCTACCATCTTCACATCCACATCATTGGGGGACGACAGATGTCATGGCCACCAGGGTAGAGGACGGTGTCGGGTTGATACTGGGTTGGGATGGGGCAACATCTGCTCACATGGAAATCTCTAGTGAATTAATTACCCGGTACTAATTATTTACTCTAATGATCTGCTGACTGAAAAATTCATAAAAGGGAAATAAAATTAGGTTTCTAAGAGATATTTTGTTCCTGTTAAATAATTTCAGTACTGAAAAAAATAGTTCAGTATAGATGAATATCATAAGTGGAAAAATACTTTTGGATTTTTCTGAAACTCTTTTCTTTTCTTTTCTTTTCTATCTCCACTAACAATTAAGTGTGAGATCACTTATATATGTTATGCTTTTTGTTTATATTTTGACCAACCCTGCAGTTTTTTAACAAGACATGCTGATAAGGAGGTTTGAAAACGGGTGATCTAACTATGTGCTTTTATTTGTCGGAGTCAAACTGAAATAGTTTTGATTATGTATTGAGCAAAGGATATTTCCTAGTTCATTTTTGGGGTGTTACAGGATTCAAAGCTCCAAACAAGGTTGATTGTGATGCATGCAATGTTTGAAGTTCAGTTTAATGGCTTCCCGCATATAGCTGTGTAATCAGAGGTATGCTTGTGGCTGAAGTAGGGTTGATTCAGTGAGTGTAATAACTTTGTAACCAGTATATCCTCCAAGTGATGTAAGAATGGCATTTGTACAGAAACAAACCTTTTATACGCGGAAAATAACCTTTCATAATGTGTCTGATGTACAATGTGTGTGTATCTGGAAATGGATGTTCATTTTTAAACAGGTGAAATAACTTGACCTGTACAGTGTTAGACTACAGGGTGTCACCTGTGCCTGTCACTAAAGTATCTTACCTGTTGTTAACTGAGAAATACATACATTGAGATTATTCCAGAGTTCTGTTTTGATTGACACATATGGCAGACATCTTTCAATAAGCAGTTGTTTGTAATAAAGTACTTGAACACAGAGACAGGAATTGCCCATGTTATAAACTTTGCGCACTTCCTTTTGGTCAACCCGTGAAGATGTGGGTTAGAATTAGTCTTCAGTAACCCATGCTTGTTATAAGAGGCGACTGGGGCGGTGGGGTACCCTAATGGTTAAAGGATTGGCTCGTCACGCCGAAGACCCGGGTTCGAATCCCCACATGGGTACAATATGTGAAGCCCATTTCTGGTGTCCCCTGCTGTGATGTTGCTGGAATATTGCTAAAAGCGGCGTAAAACCAAACTCAGTGAGTCAGTATAAGAGGCGACTAACTTGATTGGGTGGTCAGGCTTGCTGTCTTGGTTTGACACATGTCATCGTATCCCTAATGTGATCGATGCTTATGATGTTGAACACCGATTGTCTGGTCCAGACTCAATTGTTACAGACCGCTGCCATATAGCTGGGATATTTCTGAGATGCCTGGTGATACAACAAACACTTGTGGTGGACCTGATCTCACATTTGAAGCACCCCTAAAATCTCCAAAACGAGTTGCAAGAACAGTTGGCAGTGACATCAAAGGACACTATGCTTCGAATTGCTGCTACCTATAATTGCCAAGAGGATGCTAATTGATATAAAGGGACAACAATGCTATCAGCGTCCACCAAGGAGCGGTTACACTTGCCCTAGTAAGAAAACATTTAAGTCTACCAATGTGAGAAAATCCGGAATCCAATTTAAGAACAAATGAAGGAGTTAATGGGCTACACCAGTATTCCACATCATCACAAATATGTAGTACCATTTCGAAAGGAAAGGATAAATAAATTTAAAAAATTGAGATTTAGCCCCATTTTTTGACATTTTGTAGATGATTTACATTCCACAAACAATTGATTTTTGATGATGACTGTTATTAAATCATTCTCGTGAAATTCTGATGATTTATGATAGTTGTATTGTAAGATCATGAATTGCCAAGAAGAAAATATGCACGTTTTGTCAAGGAAACTAGTTTATGTGCTATTTATGTAGTCACTGATAATTATGGGAAATTTGGAACAAAGTTGCAAAGAGGGAACAGAATGGAAACTGTACATGACTGTTACGATGCCTGGTATTAAACATGTCCCTATCCAAAATACACACGTGTTTATATAGACGGGTAACAGGTTACAGTCGAGTGCTGTAACACCATTTCAATCAGTAATGATGCGACGTAACACAATATTCACTTAAACGTGGCAGTGGATCCCAACGTATGAAATAGGTTCCAAATTTTGCTAGCCAGTTGGGCTAGCTATGCCTGAAAGTTACAAGCCCACAAAATAATCGCCAGCAGGAAATTTCAACGTAGAAACGAAGCAAAAGATTACATAAAGGTAAAATACCATGCAGAAAAACCAAACCAATGACCGTATGGAAATTCACTAGCCAGTCGGGCCACTGACTGGAGATGTACTGGCCTAACTGAATTTTTACTAGCCCCGGGCTATCGGGCCAGTGGCTATGTCGCACGCTGAGTGGATACGCTTGGTGCAGGTGTAACTCGTGAATGCCTCGAAATGACTTGCCAAGATAGGCGATCCTTTCCTTCTGCGACAGTGGACAGATGGGCCTCACACGTGCGTCCTTTGGGGAAAATTGCGATCGTGGGTTCGAATGCCGGTTCGCCCGTAAATATATATATTGGTTCGTTCCATGCTTATGGGTTTTACCGCAGTGGTAATCGCCTGTGACCTGCGTCACAATCAGGACTTTCACCCACATGAAGAGCAGCCAGGGAATAACTGAAATACAAAAAATCCAGATATCCGGATATTCAATTATCCGGACGATTTACGTAAAAACGAATGTGTCCGGATATCCGAGGTCTCACTGTACTGTTCAAAGCGGCGTTAAACTCAACTCGTTCACTCACAACCGTATTACTTCCAACCGTGGATACTTCTTTGAGAGACATTTAGAAGTTGGAATTCAATATATGAATGACCAACTTCTTTATTACCTTGCGAGCGACGTTTCAGTGTCTAGAACGGTGTTAGAACCTTTCTCCTTCCATAGATACTAACGGGGTAACACACTGACAAGTGAAGTCAGAATAAAGAGAAAATAGGTGTTTATTTCTGTGGAATGCTGGTATTTGGAACACAAAGAACACATAATCAGGAATCAGAATTAGACAGTGAATAGGTCAGACCACGAGGATGCGATGTTTAATCGTAGAAATGATCAGTTACTAGTATATAGCGAGGGCTAGGACCACGAGCGTCTGATGCTTAATGAACAAGGCGCACAAGGTGCGTGGTACGACCGTCCCATAGGTATTATTGTTTTATCATTATTATATGATATTTGTATATCGCCAATATCCAGCTCAGCTCAGCTGCTCAAAGGCGCTTTTGTTTTTCCCTCGATCACTGGATGTCAATCTCAACGACACATAGTATTTTTCAGTCTCAACTTCCTGGGAATCATACAACTCTATGTTTGTTGCAAGGTTCATATTTACGTGACCATTTCAAGTATTAAACATGAAATCCGAGTGGTGTAACCTATTTACATTCAATGAAATCTAAAACGTATAAAAACAACATTGTTTGGAAAATAGAATAAAACTATATTCGAGAACGATGCTTAACGTTTGTTCTTTTATTGTTTAAAATTGACGTTACGAAACAAGCAGGTTTGTAACTACCATTGTTCAAAACGCCCGGGCTTACACATGATTGTTGCTAAAAAAAGGTTGGGCAAGTCCTCAATACTGTCTAAATATATAGCTTTGCAACCTATCGGGCTTATACGAAAAATCGCTACGACTAGCATCTGAACTGAAAGTATAAAGTTTGAACGTACAAGCCTTTACTTATGATTATACTTGCCTATGTTGACAGACGTATTATGGCCAATCATTGGTCCGAGAAAAAGTGTGATGTTAACGAAAAGAGTAAAACCACACGCACACACACACTTCAATCACAGAATATCGTTTATATGATCACAGATTGACATAATATTGCAGTTTATATCGACAAATGTAATTAGTCAAAATCTGATGCACGTACCTACTAAGGATGGATCAGTTTATTGGGTACAGTTTTAACAAAAGTTATGTTGTGTTGTGACAAATTAGATGTGTATCCGTCTCAGCAGGCTCCCGGACAAAGACGAGACTGACGCTTAGTCTGTGAATATATAATTTAAACTTGATAGTAACAAATAAACCCATATAAATTGAAATGGATCTCCTGAAGAAATCTAGATTTAATTTATGGCTTTAGCATTGCAGGGAGGGCAAAGCGGTAGGGAAATAATAATGTGGTTCAGGGACTGTGAGACAGACTTGGACAAAGACCTGCACAACCACTCCCAGGTATAACAATGGTCGGTAACATTAAACGTATTCCAACAAAATCAGTGTTCAAACATATTACTTGTTAACATCAAGTCACAACATGCATAGATTAGCAGGGTCCCCTATGTTTGTTGTTCCCGACTCGCCTGCTCATGTTTTTGGGCGGTCGGTAGACTAACAACTAGTCTCTGAAATGAACATATTTTACTGAAAAAAGTTCATAGTAAAAAAAAAAAAAAATAATGAAAAGGAGCCCTGAGACTTTCTTCATTTTCAGAAGCTGAGGAAATCTAGACTTGCCACATTTTCTAGACTTGCGTTGGCTTTCTTGGATATATTTGCTTCAAGGTCTGTACGACAGACTAGGCGGTCTGGTGTGAATGTAATCAGGTGTTGATGTATTTTTAAACTGAATAAATCACAAATATCGTCTTTCATAATCATTCACGATCATTTAGTCTTGCTGTTACTATATTATTTATTGCTAATTCGGTCAGTTGGTCAAAACAGGAGTAATGGATAGATGGTTTAAATGGTGTTGGGTGATAGTATATAAATAGGACGGCTACAGAGAAGCCTTTTCTATCTGTGAGTGAGTGAGTTTAGTTTTACGACGCTGTTAGCAATATTTCAGCAGTATCACAGCGGGGGACACCAGAAATGGGCTTCACACATTGTACCCATGTGGGGAATGGAACCCTGGTCTTCAGCGTGACGAACCAACGCTTTAACCATTAGGCTACCCCACCGCCCCAGTCGCCTCTTATAACAAGCATGGGTTACTGAAGACTAGTTCTAACGCACATCTTCACGGATTGACTAAAAGGAAGTGCACAAAGTTATAACATGGGCAATCCATTTCCATAATGCTGTAGAGGAGTTTGTGTACAGAGGAGCATCTTTGTATATGGGGAGTCACAGCGATGCTGCCTAGAAGAGACATATACTTGGTACCTGAGTGTAAACGCCAAAATTTTTACTGTGACATAATAACATGATGAAAATCCCCTGAAAATGTTGACCCTGAGCTAACGCTTTCTCATTTACTGCTGGCCGCCTCAATCGTTCATGGTTGATTAAGAAACATAATATAGGAGTGCATTGTTTACTGTAACGCTGTATTGTACATTAAACACTGACCTGGGGTCGTTTATTTCTCCTATAAGATATCAAATGTCTTTACAGGCTCATTAAGTACGTTGATACAGTTTAAACTTTTCAGAAATATTTGCCAATATTCATATACCTGTAACGACACAACCTAAATATCGTTTCGATCTGAACAAAGTCAATTTTATGAACAGGGGTTACGTTTAGCACTTACTGAATACCCTCGCACACGTCAAAACTATGAAGAATGAGTAATGTACTTAAACTGTCATCTCAAATTGCGTCCAGTTTACGATCTCATCGTACCACAGTATGTCCAGAAATGAGGCCATGACAGAACCATGGGTTATCGTGAAATATAACACGGTTCTCCATTGATCTTTGCGGTTTATCGCGCATCTGTCTTATTTTATCTGTTTAATGTCACACCTGTGGCGGTCAGTGACACCTTGAACAGCTGATAATAAACATACACGAATGAGGCGATACGACAATCTCCGCGTTGACGCACTAAGCCCCGCTATACAAATTAGCACCAAAATGAACTGTATTTTGTTACGTGTATGCGTATGTATATTTTATGCGTAGTTTCATGTTCCCAATGATTGTGTAAAGGTATGTTGTTTAGTTGTAAGAAATCAGTGTATATATAAAGACGTCCAAAACAGGCGAAATTCGTTAAAAACGCAATGTATAAAATCCGAGTAAACTGAAAGAATTTGCTGAGTAATGCGCACGGTTTTCCCATGTACACTAAAACTCGTGACGTCACATGTTGTGTTTATGTTTCTAATCTCCAACCTCAACAAACAAGACAGTGGGAGGGAGAACCAAAAAACATATATAAAATCACTAACTATTTTACTTATTTTATGAAATTTTAAGATTTAGATCACTAGTTGCTCATCTTTACAGTTTATTTACGATGTAGTTGCTTAGCTTACCAAAAATGTTTTCGATAAATGTAGACAAAGAAAGATCACGATCGCTTGATTTTACATGAATATTAATGGGTAAGAGTATTAATTTATCACACCGGAGCATTAATGTCCACAGAAAATTGAGAAACATATTTTAACAGGTCAGAATGAATATTCATGGCGGCAGGAGATGGAAACCACAGACGAAACATACGAACAGCCTGATGGTCAGTACAAACACAATGTCACATGACCACCTGACATGTTGTACCCAAGCATTCACATTACTACTTAATGCGAATATAACTATACTAACTACAGAGATAGTTGGAACGAAATGTAATGAATGGTTATTAAAAAACCCAGGCTGATATCAAGCAAATAACAGTACACGTGTTCGGGTATACGAACTTTTAAAACATTGAACCTGAACTATCAATATAAAATAGCACTTATGTAAAATATAACCAACGGAAATAGTATTGACAGCTGACGAAGATAACCGGTTTAGAACATATGAAATGAATAACAGCTATATTTCTATACCGGAACTATCAATATAAAATAGCACTTATGTAAAATATAACCAACGGATATACATGTAGTATTGTATACAGTTGACGAAGATAACCGGTTTAGAATACCTGAAAGTCAATAACAGCTTTATTTCTATACCTTGAACTATCAGTATAAAATGGCACTTATCTAAAATATAATCAACGGATATACATGTAGTATTGTACAGTTGACGAAGATAACCGGTTAAGAATACCTGAAAGTCAATAACAGCTTTATTTCTATACCTTGAACTATCAGTATAAAATGGCACTTATGTCAAATATAATCAACGGATATACATGTAGTATTGTACAGTTGACGAAGATAACCGGTTTAGAATACATGAAAGTCAATAACAGCTTTATTTCTATACCTTGAACTATCAGTATAAAATGGCACTTATGTCAAATATAATCAACGGATATACATGTAGTATTGTACAGTTGACGAAGATAACCGGTTTAGAATACCTGAAAGTCAATAACAGCTTTATTTCTATACCTTGAACTATCAGTATAAAATGGCACTTATCTAAAATATAGCCAACGGATATACATGTAGTATTGTATACAGTTGACGAAGATAACCGGTTTAGAATACCTGAAAGTCAATAACAGCTATATTTCTATACCTTGAACTATCAGTATAAAATGGCACTTATGTAAAATACAACCAACGGATATACATGTAGTATTGTACAGTTGACGAAGATAACCGGTTTAGAATACCTGAAAGTCAATAACAGCTATATTTCTATACCTTGAACTATCAGTATAAAATGGCACTTATGTCAAATATAATCAACGGATATACATGTAGTATTGTACAGTTGACGAAGATAACCGGTTTAGAATACCTGAAAGTCAATAACAGCTTTATTTCTATACCTTGAACTATCAGTATAAAATGGCACTTATCTAAAATATAGCCAACGGATATACATGTAGTATTGTATACAGTTGACGAAGATAACCGGTTTAGAATACCTGAAAGTCAATAACAGCTTTATTTCTATACCTTGAACTATCAGTATAAAATGGCACTTATGTCAAATATAATCAACGGATATACATGTAGGTTTGTACAGTTGACGAAGATAACCGGTTTAGAATACCTGAAAGCCTATAACAGCTTTATTTCTATACCTTGAACTATCAGTATAAAATGGCACTTATGTCAAATATAATCAACGGATATACATGTAGTATTGTACAGTTGACGAAGATAACCGGTTTAGAATACCTGAAAGTCAATAACAGCTTTATTTCTATACCTTGAACTATCAATATAAAATAGCACTTATGTAAAATATAACCAACGGATATACATGTAGTATTGTATACAGTTGACGAAGATAACCGGTTTAGAATACCTGAAAGTCAATAACAGCTTTATTTCTATACCTTGAACTATCAGTATAAAATGGCACTTATGTCAAATATAATCAACGGATATACATGTAGTATTGTACAGTTGACGAAGATAACCGGTTTAGAATACTTGAAAGTCAATAACAGCTATATTTCTATACTTTGAACTATCAGTATAAAACGGCACTTATGTAAAATATAACCAATGGATATACAAGTAGTATTGTACAGTTGACGAAGATAACCGGTTTAGAATACATGAAAGTCAATAACAGCTATATTTCTATACTTTGAACTATCAGTATAAAACGGCACTTATGTAAAATATAACCAACGGATATACATGTAGTATTGTACAGTTGACGAAGATAACCGGTTTAGAATACATGAAAGTCAATAACAGCTATATTTCTATACTTTGAACTATCAGTATAAAACGGCACTTATGTAAAAGGTGAATAAAGCAAAGCAGAAACAATCCAGAATAGCCAAACCAAATATGTTCAATAATGTTAAAAATGTCCCAAGAGAGTGAGATCAAGTCTCTGTCATCTCCAAGAGTGAAGACATTTGTCCATCCTGTATCCTTGATTCCCAGCCTGGACCTATTATGGAAGCTTTACCACTTATTTAGCTGCTAAAATCCACGCGAGGTTATGATCCACCCACAAAGAACCCCCCAGCTTTGTCCTTGTTAAACTATATACTACGTATGCTTTGGATGTCCAATGGAAGACAAGGTATATGAACGTCAAAACTACTCACAGGTTCTACAATGTCTCCTAAAGGCATACCCATTTGTTTAAAGCAGATCAATAGGTATGAATGTCAAGGAAATGTATATGGAAGCACGATTCTTTCGAGTATAGCCATGAACAGGTATGACGGCGACGTCGGTATCAACCGGAAACGACTTCATGGACACGGCTGGTACAGGAAGCAGGAGCTTCACTGCCTATGGTGAGGGCTTGTTCCAGTTGGGCTCGTAGGTTGTCAGGAAGGCCATTCTTAGTATGAGCCCTGATCCATGGCTTACCTGTAAGGAGAGAAGATTGACGTTTAACTTAAGGAATGACAGTGCTACAGGTATATGAATACCTGGAGATGCTTATTGTCCCATCAGTACAGTGCATCTATATCCCATCACTTCCGGTCTCAGGGAAACAACAGTGTACTCATCTGTCTCCACCTACTGACCTTGCCCATTGTGTATCCCACCACAACCACTTCCGGTCTCAGGGAAACAACAGTGCACTCATCTGTCTCCACCTACTGACCTTGCCCAATCTGTATCCCACCACAACCACTTCCGGTCTCAGGGAAACAACAGTGCACTCACCTGTCTCCACCTACTGACCTTGCCCATTCTGTATCCCACCACAACCACTTCCGGTCTCAGGGAAACAACAGTGCACTCATCTGTCTCCACCTACTGACCTTGCCCATTCTGTATCCCACCACAACCACTTCCGGTCTCAGGGAAACAACAGTGCACTCATCTGTCTCCACCTACTGACCTTGCCCATTGTGTATCCCACCACAACCACTTCCGGTCTCAGGGAAACAACAGTACACTAATCTGTCTCCACCTACTGATCTTGCCCATTGTGTATCCCACCACAACCACTTCCGGTCTCAGGGAAACAACAGTACACTAATCTGTCTCCACCTACTGACCTTGCCCATTCTGTATCCCACCACAACCACTTCCGGTCTCAGGGAAACAACAGTACACTCATCTGTCTCCACCTACTGACCTTGCCCATTTTGTATCCCACCACAACAACTTCCGGTCTCAGGGAAACAACAGTACACTCATCTGTCTCCACCTACTGACCTTGCCCATTCTGTATCCCACCACAACCACTTCCGGTCTCAGGGAAACAACAGTGCACTCACCTGTCTCCACCTACTGACCTTGCCCATTGTGTATCCCACCACAACCACTTCCGGTCTCAGGGAAACAACAGTACACTCATCTGTCTCCACCTACTGATCTTGCCCATTGTGTATCCAACCACAACCACTTCCGGTCTCAGGGAAACAACAGTACACTCATCTGTCTCCACCTACTGACCTTGCCCATTTTGTATCCCACCACAACAACTTCCGGTCTCAGGGAAACAACAGTACACTAATCTGTCTCCACCTACTGACCTTGCCCATTCTGTATCCCACCACAACCACTTCCGGTCTCAGGGAAACAACAGTACACTAATCTGTCTCCACCTACTGACCTTGCCCATTTTGTATCCCACCACAACCACTTCCGGTCTCAGGGAAACAACAGTACACTCATCTGTCTCCACCTACTGACCTTGCCCATTCTGTATCCCACCACAACCACTTCCGGTCTCAGGGAAACAACAGTGCACTCACCTGTCTCCACCTACTGACCTTGCCCAATCTGTTTCCCACCAAAGCCACTTCCGGCCTCAGAGAAACAACAATACACTCACCTTTCTCCACCTTGTCTCCCACCGTAGCCAATAACTCCAGTCCTACTGTGTGGTCAATGGCTTCCCCAGCCTTGGATCTTCCCGCTCCAAGTTTTTGGGCCACAACTGCACACGCCATAGCGTTAATACCGGTCACATAGCCTACAAAAAATAACAAAACCATCATCGCCTTCATCCTCCTCCTCATCATGTACGAAATGCTAATAATCTCTAGATCTATATCTTGTTCGCCATTAATCTGCGGCTTCCTTTCTCGATGCTCCGTCTATTAACCACTGTTCCCAAGACAACTAACCCACGTAAAACTACATCAGAACTGTACCTGTTTCGGGAGAGGAGTTCTTTGATGGCACCAGCTCGCGGGAGAACACTGAAGACATCGGTGTCGGGGGCACACAAGGCGTCTGCCTTGGCAGGGTCCACTCCCTGAGCCTTCGCCATGTGGCAAAACCTGGCCAGGGCTGTGCCATCAGAAATGGTGTCCTTGACCATACGGCGACCTTCCTCCGAAGAGGGTGCTTTGCCTGCAACGCTTAATAACTCACCGCCTGTCAGAAGAAATGAACATGTACAGTCACAAGTGAACGATTGATTAAGGTGAGTTGGTTAGGTCAGTTTTAGAAATATTCCCACAATATCACAGCGGGGGACACCAGAAATGGGCGTCACATATTGTACCCATGTGGAACTGAACGAACGCTTTAACCACTAGGTTCCTCCACCGCCCACCGATTGATGTGGACATGTACTCGTTCAAACTTAATCACCATGCCCCGATTTCTCGAAACAAACTTAAGTTTTTACTCAAATTTCAAACTGAGTTTGACAATTTGAAACAGCTGAATTTTTAACTCAACTGCATTTTCAAAATGAAAAGGCCCAAATCTATCCACCAAACTCAAATTGTCTACTATGTTTTGAGTTTCATATCGATTTCTGTTAATCTGGGAAATGCATTTTACTGCATTTTCTCAAATTTGAGTAAGAACTCTAACTTAAGTCAGACTTAAGTTTGTTTCGAGAAATCAGGGCCAGGGATGTACGGAATTGCACATATATTTAATACACTTGTGCTAATTCCCCCACCCCCTCCATGTTTCAGTATGAAACTTTGGAATTGATATACCAACCTAACTCTATGACGAGATTTAGCAAATCATCAGGACCGTTGCCTTGGAGAGTCCAGACTGTTTCAGCCACTTCTAAAGCGTTGCCCACCATTTTGCCTAGTGGAGAGTTCATACTGGTGAGAAGGGACACCGTGTTTATCCCCAAACCATTGCCTGACCCAACCTGCCATACAAAAAACACACAAGTCAAGCAATAGCTCCTCAATGAGCGTCAACAGTTTTTTTTTAAGAAGTTGAGGCAGAAACGTATCGTAATAGTGTTGGAAGACTCACCGCTGAGTGAGTGAGTGAGTTTAGTTTTAAGCACCTTTTACCAATATTCCAGAAATATCACGATTGCGGACACCAGAAATGGGTTTCACACATTGTGCCGATGTGGGGAATCGTACCCGGGTCTCAAGTTCGGCGTGACGAGCGAACGCTTTACCCCATCACCTATTTAATGAGCTGAGACAGAAAGGAATGGTTTTAGTGTTGGAAGCCTCACTGCTGAATGTGCCTGTGAAAACAGGATATGAGTTATAGGGAGTTTGAGTAGTCTCCCCTTCAGATCAGTATTCCAGTCGTATCAGTATGTGTGTCAACGTGATGCGGGAGGTGCACTTATTGGACGTTTACCACTTCTGTGGAACCAACTAGCTAGGATATAATACTAGACCTAGAAACATGATCAACCGGGATTCGAACATCCAATTAAATAGTTCTGGCACGCCTAAGGGGCGCAACCCTGCACAGGGAGTGTGTGGGCTATCACGTGTATCGGATAGCTAGGGTTATACCAATGATATCAGCCTATCGCGATCCTAAAGGTTTTCAAGGGAATGGATGAAATAACTTTGCATATCTTGAAAACTATTGCATCAGTATAATGGCTGAAGCATACTCTTCCCACGCCTTCATCCAGCGTCGTGCGACACTTGCTCAAGGTTACAACATTCAAGGCCCCAGTAAAGCTATCAAAGCGTCAGTTGTCCAATTCACTTGCCTTTGCGTGTGTTTGTGCCATCGGTGGGTTATGATAGGCTCACTATTTGGTAGTGATTTATAAATTCTTGCTCATCATTTAGTAGAAATCAAATAATCCATTCTTTCTTGTCTATTCTTTTGACTATTGAATGGGTTTTGTCACTTATATTTTTGTGACTATCACAGTCAGTATTGCCATAGCAACAGTTGAGAGAGATTCTGAATCCAGTTGAAAAATAAATGATAAATATATTTTAAAAATAAAGATTTTTTTCGTCAATAGTATAAAATTATATATGATGCATAGACGGCATGAGTGTAGCCTGTACTAATATTTAACCTGTGTTCTATGTATCGTCAATGATCGATTCCGAGGCTTCGATCAGTCTTTACCATCATGCCTGTCACACCTGAAAACCTAATATCAGTCGCGTGTCGAAGCATCGTAACTTCCAATTGATAGATGTACTTTTTGGATAACCATCTAGTGGTATGTGGGCAATAATAAACATAACAGTGCTCGTTAGAAGTTTAGATAGCTTGCAGGTAAATATATAAATCGTGAACACGAGAGAATATGTCAAGGGTAAACAAATGACACACCTGTCACAGGTGAGCTTATCTCAGTGTTCCCTTTATAGACACCTTACCCTAAAATATCATCATGTAAACTTAATTGATGGTGTTAACCATGTCGTAACCAATTGTGTGATAAGCTCATCACGATATTGTATGTCGGCACATAGTGCACGCGTCTGAATAATAAGGGGCGACGGTACTGAAAATCTGCCCTAGGTATTGAAGCGTATCAGTACCATAATCTAAAACAGCTTTACCATCTACATGAAAGCTACTTATATCTATATACATTTTATTGTTTCGTTACTGAGAATGTGATATTGTATTTTGAACCTGTGATCCTAGTTGGATATAGTTCTCTTTCTCTCTCTCTCTCTCTCACAGAGGAGAGAGAGAGAGAGAGAGAGAGAGAGAGAGAGGGAGGGAGAGAGAGAGAGAGAGGGAGAGAGAGAGAGAGGGAGGGAGAGAGAGAGAGTAAAACAAATATTATTAACATATATATTAAATGAAGAGCTACTGTATTGAATGTTCTGATATCAATATATTCTACGTGGATGTCATTATTTTCTTCGTAGATGTCAGTATTTTCTACGTGGATGTCAGTATCATCTACGCACACACACACTACAGAAACGTCAGTATTTTCTACGTGGATGTCAGTATCATCTACGCACACACACACTACGTAGATGTCAGTATTTTCTACGTGGATGTCAGTATCATCTACGCACACACACACTACGTAGATGTCAGTATTTTCTACGTGGATGTCAGTATCATCTACGCACACACACACTACGTAGATGTCAGTATTTTCTACGTGGATGTCAGTATCATCTACGCACACACACTACGTAGATGTCAGTATTTTCTACGTGGATGTCAGTATCATCTACGCACACACACACTACGTAGATGTCAGTATTTTCTACGTGGATGTCAGTATTATCTACGCACACACACACTACAGAAACGTCAGTATTTTCTACGTGGATGTCAGTATCATCTACGCAAACACACACTACGTAGATGTCAGTATTTTCTACTCATTGTCAGTATATTCTACGCACACACACACACACACACTTTGTAGATGTCAGTATATTCTACGTAGATGTCAGTATCATCTACGCAGATTTAAGTACCATCTACGCTTACGTACATGATAAAATGTTATCAGACTGTGGCACAAACACGCTTCCATACCTACGCGGCTGTTGCCCTGCTGTTATCAGTACGGGCACGAGGTGACCCAAAGCCACACTACAAGAGATAAATACTCCATGGTACGCCAGTTGACCTACTGCCTTACAGGGCCATGGTCTTGACCTCGAATTTTCCACACATGTAACAGATTTACAATCGTTGGATCGCTAAGATACCATAAACTTATCTTTTAAGAGGGAGATAAAACATTCCTTTTCAGACAGGTTTTCCCTGAACTATTTGTTTTTACCATGACTCTTACTAGGTGTCTGTTTAACTGTTATATTATGTTTGCGCTTTATAAGTGTGCATTGATATACCCAAATGCTCCATATGTATATTTGGAGCGTGTGTAGTGTATATAGATATATACGTGGAGAAACAAAAAAAGGAACACAGGGGAATTCAACCGTTCCTTTATTATTTTCCAGTTTTAATCACCACAGCGCTATTCAAAGCTGGTGATGAAAACTAGAAAATATTAAAGGAACACTTGAGTTTTCCTGTGTTCCTTTATTTGTTTCTCTACGTATATATATATATAAAGATATACAAGGAAGAGAAATTGACCAGTGCACGGCGACACACAAATGGGATGTGAGTGAGTATAGTTTTAAACCGCTTTTAGCAATATTCCGGCAATATCACGGCGGGGCACACCAGGGATGGTCTTCACACGTTGTACTCATGTGGGGAATCGAACCCGGGTCTTCGGCGTGGCGAGGGAACGCTTTAACCACTTGGCTACACCATCACCCCGGTACACAAATATAGAAATTAATAAAATAATCACACGGCACGAATTGTTTTAAGATCTTGAAAATAAACTAAAACATGTAAGAACAAGTCAGGTCGTGTGATTATTTTGTAAATTTCCATACATACCTGCACATTACGCAAGCGCACGCACACAAAGGCACACGTACAATGTATATCATATAATATATATGAGTAGGTCAATGATATGGGTTCGGCAGTTAACCAAATATACAATAATATACGCACGTACACGCATTATTATCATTATTATTGCAATAGTCGCACCTAAACTGCAATAGGATCGTAATAGCATTGTAAATATCGCAATGCTGTTGCTGCTGCCTTCGATCGTCACCCCTACTAATATGTCCTACCATCATCCGTGCTAGCTTCCTAGCTGTATCAATGTCCTTGAGAAAAGCCCCGTTGCCGAACTTTACGTCCAGCACTAAAGCGTCTATCTTCTCCGCAGCCTTCTTGGAAATGATTGATCCTGTAAACATCGAATGACTGAGTGATTGTTTTTGGTTGTTTGGTTGTTGTTAACGCCGCATTCAGCAATATTCCAGCTATATGGCGGCGGTAATCGAGTCTTGACCAGACAATCCAGTGATCAAAAGCATGAGCATTGATCTACGCACTTGGGATACGATGACATGTGTCAAACAAGTCATCGAGCCAGATTTTTTCTGTTTTGGTCGAATCCATGTTTCCAGTATAGGCTTTCTTTAGCTGGGCGACCCGTGAAGGTCCGGGTTAGATCTGATCTTCAGTAACCGATGCTTGTCGTAAAAGGCGACTTACGGGATCAGATGGTCAGGCTCGCTGACTTGGTTGACACATGTCATCGTATTTAGATTGGGTAGATCGATGCTCATACTGTTAATCACTGGATTGTAAGGTCCAGACTCGATTATTTACAGACTGCCGCCATATAGCTGGAATATTGCAACGTGTGGCGTAAAACTAAACTCACTCACTCTTTAGCTCCGCAGTTTAGATGTAATCGTACAAGACTTAAAACCGGGATTTCTCTTTATTTCGGATCGGGTTTTGTCATTTTTAAGCTACAAAAGAGAATTTCCAAAGATATCACTGTTTATATTCGAGTCAGCACGAGTCACCTGTTATTAGCCCGAGATTGTCCACAGTGGCTGTGACGTCACGTATTGCGTACATCTTGCTGTCAGCAGGACACAGTTTCTTTGTCTGACCCACAATGCAACAGCCAACAGTTTCGATGATATCCAGCATCTTCTCTGACGTCACAGAGACTTGGAATCCTGGGATAGATTCAAGTTTGTCCAGCGTCCCTCCTGTATGTTCCAGACCTCGTCCGGAGATCATTGGAACCTGGAAACACAGACCTCGTTGGTGTACCTCAGTAAATCATTCATCGATACTTTCCCAAGCCTGTGGCTATGAGGTAAGCTAGTGTCAGTAATTTTAGCACCTGACCATAACGCTTCCTGTTCGATTCTGTCATTTGAAATGGTTTCTTCCTCGTTATACACTGGCATTTTACTAAGCGTTACGTATAACGTCTCGTTTTATTCGACTGAAAATGTTAACATCCTGGACCTGAGGTAATGACATCTGACCTCTTCAGCTACAGGTTATGTTCAACTGAAATATCTTATTGCATTACAGCTAGTCTGAGTCCCTTGCCCTAGAAAGTAAACTAAATAGGAGTCCCGTCTAGAATGGTTAGGCAAGTCTACATTGACCCAAGGCTCGGATAAAGAATTGGTCTGGGCTCCTTTGGGATTTTACTTATATTTTGAATAAGATAGGTTTATTACCAGATTAAATGTCATAGTACGTTACAGAATGAAACAAACAGGCAAGACGCTCTTACCTTTACCCCACAGGCTGCCAGTGCTGGGGCGAGGATTAGGCTGACTTTGTCCCCGACCCCACCAGTGCTGTGTTTGTCCACTAAGTTTCCCTTCCACTCCTCCGGCCAACTCAGCGTATCCCCCGAGTTCATCATGGCGCGGGTCAGGTCTGTCGTTTCCCTCATAGTCAGATCGTTTAAGTACATGGCCATAAGCATGGCGCCTGTAACACAGAATACCATAAAAATACCAGGATACCATCAAAAAGTTTATTGTCAAGTAGCACATTATAAGCATGACGCCTTTAACATAGAATACCACCTATAGTGCACCTGTAACACCATTGTCAGGGCACCTGCAACTAAGAAGACCATTATCAGGGCACCTGCAACTAAGAAGACCATTATCAGGGAACCAGTAACTAAGAAGACCATTAGTAGGGAACCATTAACTAAGAAGACCATTAGTATGTAACTAAGAAGACCATTAGTAGGGCACCTGTAACTAAGAAGACCATTAGCAAGGCACCTGTAACTCAGAACACCATTAGTAGGGCACCTGTAACTCAGAACACCATTAGCAAGGCACCTGTACCTCAGAACACCATTAGCAAGGCACCTGTACCTCAGAACACCATTAGCAAGGCACCTGTACCTCAGAACACCATTAGCAAGGCACCTGTACCTCAGAACACCATTAGCAAGGCACCTGTACCTCAGAACACCATTAGCAGGGCACCTACAACTCAGAACACCATTATCGGGCACCTGCAACTCGGAATGCCATCAGCAGGGCATTGGTAACATAAAATACAATCATTGGAGCACCTTTAGCCAAGAATGACATCAAAATATGGGTTTACTAAGGAATTCCTCCAGAATGTCACCTAGAACAGAGAACACCATCAATAGGGAACATGTAACTCGGAATGAGTAATGACTGTCCAGCTTTACCCCACTGGCGTTTGTACCGGGCAATGCAATTATGGAAACCACGGACATCAAATCGCCTAATCACCGGAATAGGGTGACATGTCATCAACCAGGTGACCACCTGCCCACAGATTCACTTAGTGACCTCGTTGACAAGGTCTGGTTGCAGTAAGCCTACGTATTCTTACCTGGAATCTTCGTATTTATTGAGATTAAGATATACGTGGTTATATACATGTACATGATATCGACCTGTAATTAATGGAACGATCTGGACTGATGTTAATGTCTGTGGTCAGCAGATCTCCCGAAATAGTTGATCTGGATATCTTGATGATACCTAATGAGTCTACACGGATGTTTTGTTTTTGTTTTTTCTATAAACTGTGAATGATTAGCAGGGCGATTGGTATGCCTGTTTGCGTGGATGTATTAACCAACAGTACATGTAGCTCAGAGGTCAGAATCAGACGATGTATGTCGCAGACACACATTTAGTGTACTTAGGTTGTATTAATGTCTTCGTGTTTACTGGAAGTTGTTGTGGGCGGTGGTACATACATATTTCTGTGTCACGGATGCTTATATCGGTGGTACATACATATTTCTGTGTCATGGATGCTTATATCGGTGGTACATACATATTTCTGTGTCACGAAAGCTGTGCTGGAATAGATGGGACATTTATATCCCTGTTCTTTGTGAAGACTTGCTGCTATTTTATGAACAGCTCTATGTTGAGAAGTTATTTTCTATTTTAACTGCGGTAAGACAGACTAACATTAACAATGGACATGTAAATTTCCCAATGTGTCCTTGCACATGAGAAAAAAACTGACAAAACTTCGTCCGACCTTTAGACAGCTTTAAACATCATCTATTTCATGCCGGAATTGAATAAAACCAAATGGCGATCTGTTTTGAAGAAAGGTGTAGGACATATACCTCGACGTTAAGCAAACTCAGATTAGACACACAATATTTCTTTGCTTGTAAGTATCCTTCACGGATTTACTCCAGAAATGGATACCTGGATGTTGAGGATTTCCGAGGTTTTACAGTTTTCGATTTGCCGTGTGACCTACTGGTCTGTAGATAGCATTTACTACGATACCAAAACGTTTCCAGTTGATGGTTGACAGTATTTGCATACCTTGGTGGTGGTGATATTTAATGTGTGCTAGTGGTGAACCAATGTTTCATCCATAGTCCCCAGTCGTTGTAATAACCATTCTGGATCATCCCCAAACAGAGCTAGATTATCATGAGAATGTTGTGTCTGGTGTGTTCTTAGGAACCCAAATGAGCTAATGCCCGTTTCAGTTATAACGGACTGTACTCTGTCCTGGGACATGGCTACCGAAGCAGAAATATGATGCTCCGCCGCATCATGGATCCTCTAGATCATTTCTGGTGTTGCTGGGGCAACGGACTTTCCAGGACTTTTGGTCGTCCTCAAGGCTCTCCCTGCATCGCTCAAACCAGAAACCATATCCTAGTATATTATCTCTGCTCAAATTCTACTCTCACTCCTTCTGTGAGGCTCTATCAACCCTAGTGCCAACATGTGGCCAATGGGCTATAGCAGGGAACAGAGACTGAATATAATCGGGCCAAATAACCTTGAGATGACGGGAAACAGTGTGATTTGAATCCTGAGCATTGAATCATGTATATCAGCGCATTAGAAATGTTCCTCTTACCCAGCATGTGCACTAAACTATTTATACCATATGCAAATGACTGTATGATGGCCTGTGGCCTTTTACTGCATAAACTTGTCTGACTGTCTCAATCATGAACAGGATGTGGTAATAATCATGGGCACGGTGTCGTAATAACTACGTTGTTTAGTCATAACAATTCCGTATTTGGAAAACGATTTCCGAGAAACAGATGCCAAAGCAGGACACATACTTTCCGAGAACTGGTTGCCGGCGAGGTTTGTTTGGTGAACGGAAAATAGCCATATATACCATAGCATTAATTTGTTGACATCGATGATATTGACAAGTAACAGCTGATCTATATGACTCTTGTTTAGCAAAGCTGGACTTTTTATGGAAGATTTCGAATTAATGCCTGGTGGAATATTGACAAAAAAACAATAGAAATATGTTAGTTCTGTCAATGCCTGTGTGTTAAATATGGGTTAATTTTCCAGCGTCACCTTGTAGACTTTGTGTGACCATATTGTACTGTTATGAGGGGCGACCGCGCAATGCTTCATCTCGCCAAATGTATGACGAGTGTAGCTATGAGTGAGTGAGTGAGTTTGGTTTTACGCCGCTTTTAGCAATATTCCAGCAATAGCACGGCGGGGGACACCAAAAATGGGCTTAACACTTTGTACCCATGTGGGGAATCGAACCCGGGTCTTCGGCGTGACGAGCGAACGCCTTAACCACTAGGCTACCCCGCCACCCCAGTGTAGCTATGAGCTGTCACAACAATTCAACTCATATTCGGCTTGTAATAACACGGGCAAATTAAAGTTAGCCCTACAGTTACATCATCAAATCAAATCTGTGTCTTAGCCGCTCACTCACAGTCGATCGTTTTCGTGATAATGTCATTGTCATAATGTCGGATGGATAATTAATCGTTGAGTGGAACAATATTTCATATTTATGATATCATAAAGAACCTCTCCTTGAAGAGACGTGAAGTAGTGTTTCACTGTTAGCATACAAAAAGTCTTGCCATTGGAATAACACTTCTGCTTATATCCCCAGAGGGGGCGGAGGGGTAGCCAAGTTGTTAAAGCGTTCACAGGTCACGCGGAAGGCCCATGTTCTATTCCCCAGATGGGTAAAATGGGTGAAGCCCATTCCTGGTGTCCTTCGTTGTGTACGTATTCTCCATTAAGTATACGCTGTATGTCATGAATCCACTGGATTAGCCTATGTATATACTCATGAAAAGAAGTATCGCAACACCCAATAGTTTTCATATGATCACTATGTTACCATTAACCATAGCAGAGGATTTTATCCAAACCTCAATTAAATATGCAATAAGTATTAAACGACAAATCTAAATGCAAAGAGAACGAAAACTGTAGGCTGTTCACGGAACATGGCCAAAAGACTGCCTCATTATTGTTGCGCTGGTAACTATGGTCGCATGACGTTGACAAGTTAGCATTTTCAGATTGCTGAGGTTTTCTGGCCAGTCGGCTGATAGTCGATGGATTACAACTAATATCCCATGCAATAACCCTGAATACTATGCCAGCATTTAGTATACCCATAACAAGCCATGTTTGAGCAATTGCCAGTTTAGGAAGCCCCATATTCGCTTAACAACAACAAAAAATATTGTTTTTCGAGTTATCGAGACGAAAGAACGATTTATTGAAACTTAATATTTGGTTAATGACGGGTATACGTATTGCACGTGATGATCGCCTATGATCGTAGCACGTGCGTAAAATAAAAATGTATGAATCGCTCCAAGGGTAAACATAATCATATAAACAAACAAAATGATGATATCAATACCAATGGCTATATCATAGTTGTTGCGATACTTTATCCCATGTGTATATTTAGCAATAGTCCCTGGTGTGAATACGCCATACACGTGACATGTATTATAAATAAATAATATGCCTGAATATACGCCCTCCATTAATATGGCATGTATGGTGTATTCTCCCATTATCCCGACTCACCGATCTGGGAGTCCTGTACGCTGTTGTTGGCGATGCCGTTGACGAAGGCTTCAATTTCATCCCGACTTAGTTCCTCCTTATTCCTCTTCTTGGTGATGAGGGCGGGGAAGCTTACCGACGACATCTTCCTCTACGTTGATGTATCCCAAGATGTTTCCTCCAGCACCGGACACGACCAGCTACAATATTAACAAAGACCAATAAAACAATGGTATTCTGATGCCTGTTTACAATCCCTTGTTTAAGAGCTAACTGTTTTCCGCGGCGAGCGGTACACTGTTTGTTGTGTAGAAGAGAGTGTTTGACACGACCGCAGGCCGCGAGTTACGCCTACATGTGTGATAACCGACTTTACTCCACGCATAGAAAATATTGACTTCTTTGTGGACCGATAAGGCACACATGTCTACTTTCACCGAGGTCATTATACGACCGCAAGGGCTGCATTGATACACAAATATACAAACTGGAAAGTCAGTATCTTCAAACTAAAAGTGAAAATAGCCATAGAATATAATGTCACTCCATATTTGCATTTAAATATCAAACTGCACGTGCATGGATGTAAATCATGCATAGCTAACCCTGCACAGTTCTTCCGTTGATATGAACTAAGAGCGCACACACAAACCTGAGATACATGTGTAGTCGATTATATTACGATTTATACAGAATTGATAAAAGGGTCACCGAACTGTATGTGTTTAAATGCAAGTGAAAATGCATATTATTACCTCGTAGAATGTGCATCGTTTAGTTATCAGCGTGTAAATATGTTTACCACCGCTAAAAATATTTTCTTTGAGTGACATTATAGAAGTTGGGAAGTACAATATAGAACAAACTTTATGGATAACAACTTCCCTTGTTAGTTTGTTCTATATTGCTAAAAATATTGTTCATAACATGCTTGTTGACGTGAACGCACTGCTATATGGCAAAACACAAAGTTCCGACGTTCTATTGAATCTTAAAAGAAACAATAATATTAAATATAATCTTACAATCATTTACAATATACAACATCATATTAGCTTTACACCCATGCAATTAGACTATTTGACAGTATATATTCCATGGGTAACAGCGGTCTATTGTGCTATTATTAATCACAGAAATTCATATCATGACATTTTCAGCAATAGCTGCTTATCGCCTGGGTCGTATACCACACGTGTGTATAACGTAATTATCTTATTCCGGCACTTACAGCCGCGAGTAAAAAATACAAGTTTGTGATTGCTGAGATTGACTTGTCGTGGAAGAGATGGAATCACAGCTCGACATATTTTTATTTGTGATCTATTCGTCTTTTGTATACCAACTAAAGAAGTTTGGACTCAACCCATTTTTCGCCTTTATCCTGAGCTAATAACCCGTTAACAGCGTTAGCTAAAAGTGCGTAGCTTGGGCCAGCATAGTCAGCAATGCCACTTTCAACAAAGTATCACTTCTCATCAGTATCACTTTCTAAAACAATATTCACAGGACAACATTGGCAACACACTGAACAGGTACTTTGCCATTTCTGTCATGATACCTTGTGATCATATTGACATGAGGGGCGGTGGGGTAGCCTAGTGGTTTAAGCGTTTGCTCGTCACGCCGAAGACCTGGGTTCGATTCCCCAAGTGGGTACAATGTGTGAAGCCCATTTCTGGTGTCCCCCGCCGTGATATTGCTGGAATATTGCTAAAAGCGGCGTAAAACCATACTCACTCATATTGATATGAAAAAGTAGCACATAATTGTTGAATAGGGATTGGGAAAATATCTTTATCGAAAGGACTGCGATTTCTCTATTGAGACTTTTCTTAAAGTACTTTCGTCTTGTCCTGGGCTTCTTTCAACTTATTTATGGAAACTTCACAAGCTTTCAAAAGTCTAGTCCGAAATGATGAAACATGGTTCAACAAACTTAATTCAGACCCATCATTAAGCCATTGCTAAAATGCTTTAAAAGTCCACGAACAGTATGACAAAAGACAAGGTAGGAAGACTGTTGAGTCCCTCACAGTAAGCAACAACACACCAATGCCTTCACCCCAGTCCTTCTCAGCCTTAAAACAGTAAGTCCTTACCATGTTCTTAAGAGTTTGATGTCATTTCACTGGAGCTCCCTAATATCCAGGGTGAAATGCACTAGATTTAATCTGAGTAATGCCTAACTGATGCATAGCCTGTTGAAATAACCTAACATGAAATTGGAACCTTAACCTGCCTTAACAGTCCTGGGTAACCCAAACATGTAGTTATATGGTTACATGTAAGCATGTACAGATCGCCTTTATTCAAAGGACCAAAAACCATACTGAAACTGCTGAATCGCTCTTCAAAAGCTGGAACGGGTTGACATTTTCTGATTTGATTTGCCTACCATTTAACACACATTGCATTTTTTGCAAAATTCAGCCACATAATGCGACAAATTATGGTAAATGACATGACTTTTGCCACAAATTTGGTTTACATCCACGTTTCATGGGCTTAACTCAAAAAATGTTTTCGAAGGGAATTTGGGAGAACAATCCATCCTTGAAAAAATAGCAAACTGTTACCTTGTTATCTTCTTTTCATGAGAGTGATCTGGTGACAAGAACTTTGAGTGGGTCATATCCCTGTAACCTAACCAACTGCTCCCTGCCCAGAACTGGTTCCATAACAGCCAAACTTCCAGAACTTCCGAACTTGGGAATGATCCATGAAAGCGCCAACCATTTCGTGAGTGGAATCATTCTCAGAAGACACTTCCAGTACTTTCCGAAGTGCGAGGCTCATGACAAACAACAGGATCAGTCAAACCAGCCAAAGTCCACATTTTGATAGGGAGAGTTTCTACAATCTACACCAACCCATACCCCAAGTCAGTGTTCAAATTCACCACATGGAGAAGTGCATTTGTAAAACAGCATAGGCCCTCTAACAATACCTCAGAGGGCAACTCTGGTGTAACTGTTCAACTTTCTGCACTTGAAGATAGGTCCGAATGTCTCCTTACACACAATGCTTAAAGTCCTTAAGCAAAACCAACTTCCCACTCAATCAAAACCATTGACCTCTTTACAAAAACACTACTTATGAAACAAAGTTTCCTTCTTCCTAGCAAGTAAGTGAGTAAAGTTTTCATATTTCAGCAATATCGCGGCAAGGGACACCAGAAATGGGATTTACACACTGTACCCATGAGGGGAATCGAACCATGTCTTAGGCGTGACGAGCGAACGCTTTAACATCTAGGCTAAACCTCCTTCTCCCCAGCAACGCATCAAAGGTACTACCCTCAGTTTTCTTAGCAGACCTAAACTTTGCTTGTAAGCTTCAGGAACAAATTCACAAGCCTTTAAAACTACAGCCGTAACAGTCTGATAATCAGAACTCCTATCAACAAGTAATGGAGGACACACTACCTGAGCCTTCCCCATTAACACACTATGAAATAACATGGTCCGTTGATTATCAGGCCTTTCAATTCTTAGCCACCTTTTCAGAACGTAAGAACATCTTTTCACTTGTTGACCCGTTAAGGTTCTATGAGAAGGATGACTTTGCAGTTTGAGTTGTTTCATTTGAATCTGACTTTTCACCATTCACTGAGACATAACAACGTGCGTTATGGGTGAATAACTACACCCATGGACATTTCAAGTCAAGAGCCATCCCTGATTTGTTGACAATGGACAGTAAAAGGTTTATTACCATGTTTAGTGAGACGCACATGTGAACTTACAAAGTTCGCTTACTATGATCAAGTAGTTTCTACACTTTTTTGGTCATGGTCAAGTATTCGACACTTCTCAAAAATCCTGCACTGAACTATGCTTAGAAAAGTATAGTGACATGGCAAGATTCTCCATCGACAGAGGTGGCCTATCGGACAGAAGTGTGAGTGGAAGTTCTATACTCTCCTACGTAGAGTGTTCCTCCGGACCTCTGCCTTCTGTGAGTGAGTTTAGTTTTACGCCGCATTCAGTAATATTCCAGCTATATGGCAGCGGTCTGTAAATAATCGAGTCTGGACCAGACAATCCAGTGATCAACAACATGAGCATCTTACTGCGCAATTGGGATACGATGACATCTGTCAACCAAGTCAGCGAGCCTGGCGGGTATAAAATATAGTTACGTGTTAAAACCAAAGTTGAAATTTGAAGTGAAACAAAGGAATGTGATACATGTAACATTAAAGTCAAAATTACAAATGAATACAAATCAGTACAAAGGTATTACAGCAGTGGCGGTAGAAAATAGAGTGGCAGTATAAATTCAAAGAGAGTATAGTGAAAAGCTGGTAATATTCCCCCACAGCAACCATGATCAAACCTAGGCTGAGTATGCAGGGTACGAATGATCTCTACACAATTGTTGGTCTTCTTGTATATAACTTGAGGTGTAATTTGGGATGGGAGGCAGGAGTTAGCTCCCTTCATATACCTAAGAAAAATACTCTTCAACTCCCCGAGTTCGAAAATGTACACGTTTGTTTCAAAGGTACAGCTTTGTATGATATATATCCAAGGAGTTGGGAAATATCTGAAAATATAGCGTATGTTGTACAATCCGGCTTTTGTCCCTGTGAGTGTGAGGTGGGAGTCATGAGTTAGCTCCCGTTATATGCCAAAGAAGAAAAGACTCTTCAACTCCCTGGGTCAGAACATACTGGAGAGGCCCACATGGTTGTTGTATACAGCAGTACCTTCCAGTTCCAGAACTCTGTCTAAATATAGCCCAAGTCTAAATATAGCACATCACTGCCCCCCCTACTGGGGGTCAACAGAAACAATGCAATACACTTGGAACATTCTTCCACAATGACAAACATTGCCACATAGCAATATGTAAAGCACATAATTTGCCAAAGACACTGGTGATTAAGGAAATTCGACTTGCTATTAAGGTAGCTCAATAGAAACTAGAACTAGATAACTTACAGTTGATGCTAAGCATACGATGTACTCTCAGGTGGATACGACTGAATTGTGAGAAGGTACCAAGCCCATGACAAGACACTTTGAAATCCCCGTCCATCCTGCCACCCTCCGTACTGTGTGTCGTATTTATGACAGAAATAAATCAAGTGAAGCGGGCAGATGGCACAGCAAAGGCACATTTGCCGATCAGTGGGTTGTGACGACAGTAAGAGTAAGAATGATCTCCACTCAATTCTTGATCTTCTTGTAAC